CCCATAGCTCCCCATAGCGCCCCATAGCTCCCCATAGCCCCCCATAGCTCCCCATAGCCCCCCATAGCTCCCCATAGCTCCCCATAGCGCCCCATAGCTCCCCATAGCTCCCCATAGCGCCCCATAGCTCCCCATAGCTCCCCCTGCCCCATAGCTCCCCATAGCGCCCCATAGCTCCCCATAGCTCCCCCTGCCCCATAGCTCCCCATAGCTCCCCATAGCTCCCCATAGCGCCCCATAGCGCCCCCTGCCCCATAGCGCCCCCTGCCCCATAGCTCCCCATAGCTCCCCATAGCTCCCCCTGCCCCATAGCTCCCCCTGCCCCATAGCTCCCCATAGCGCCCCATAGCGCCCCATAGCTCCCCTGCCCCATAGCTCCCCATAGCGCCCCATAGCTCCCCATAGCCCCCCATAGCTCCCCATAGCTCCCCATAGCCCCCCATAGCTCCCCATAGCTCCCCATAGCGCCCCATAGCTCCCCATAGCTCCCCCATAGCGCCCCATAGCGCCCCATAGCTCCCCCTGCCCCATAGCTCCCTATAGCTCCCCATAGCTCCCCATAGCTCCCCATAGCGCCCCATAGCTCCCCCTGCCCCATAGCTCCCCATAGCCCCCCATAGCTCCCCCTGCCCCATAGCTCCCCATAGCTCCCCATAGCTCCCCCTGCCCCATAGCTCCCCATAGCGCCCCATAGCTCCCCATAGCTCCCCCTGCCCCATAGCGCCCCCATAGCTCCCCATAGCTCCCCATAGCCCCCCATAGCTCCCCCTGCCCCATAGCTCCCCATAGCGCCCCATAGCGCCCCATAGCGCCCCATAGCTCCCCCTGCCCCATAGCGCCCCATAGCTCCCCATAGCTCCCCCTGCCCCATAGCTCCCCATAGCGCCCCATAGCTCCCCATAGCTCCCCCTGCCCCATAGCTCCCCATAGCGCCCCATAGCTCCCCATAGCTCCCCATAGTCCCCGCATAGCTCCCCATAGCCCCCCATAGCTCCCCCTGCCCCATAGCTCCCCATAGCTCCCCATAGCTCCCCATAGCTCCCCATAGCTCCCCATAGCGCCCCATAGCTCCCCCTGCCCCATAGCTCCCCATAGCTCCCCATAGCTCCCCCATAGCGCCCCATAGCGCCCCATAGCTCCCCCTGCCCCATAGCTCCCCATAGCGCCCCATAGCTCCCCATAGCTCCCCTGCCCCATAGCTCCCCATAGCTCCCCATAGCTCCCCATAGCCCCCCATAGCTCCCCTGCCCCATAGCTCCCCATAGCTCCCCATAGCTCCCCATAGCTCCCCCTGCCCCATAGCGCCCCATAGCTCCCCATAGCTCCCCATAGCGCCCCATAGCTCCCCATAGCTCCCCCTGCCCCATAGCTCCCCATAGCTCCCCATAGCTCCCCATAGCTCCCCCTGCCCCATAGCGCCCCATAGCTCCCCATAGCTCCCCATAGCGCCCCATAGCTCCCCATAGCTCCCCCTGCCCCATAGCTCCCCATAGCGCCCCATAGCTCCCCATAGCTCCCCATAGCTCCCCTGCCCCATAGCTCCCCATAGCTCCCCATAGCTCCCCATAGCGCCCCATAGCGCCCCCTGCCCCATAGCGCCCCCTGCCCCATAGCTCCCCATAGCTCCCCATAGCTCCCCCTGCCCCATAGCTCCCCCTGCCCCATAGCTCCCCATAGCGCCCCATAGCTCCCCATAGCCCCCCATAGCTCCCATAGCTCCCCATAGCCCCCCATAGCTCCCCATAGCTCCCCATAGCGCCCCATAGCTCCCCATAGCTCCCCATAGCGCCCCATAGCTCCCCATAGCTCCCCCTGCCCCATAGCTCCCCATAGCGCCCCATAGCTCCCCATAGCTCCCCCTGCCCCATAGCTCCCCATAGCTCCCCCATAGCTCCCCATAGCGCCCCATAGCGCCCCCTGCCCCATAGCGCCCCCTGCCCCATAGCTCCCCATAGCTCCCCATAGCTCCCCCTGCCCCATAGCTCCCCCTGCCCCATAGCTCCCCATAGCGCCCCATAGCGCCCCATAGCTCCCCCTGCCCCATAGCTCCCCATAGCGCCCCATAGCTCCCCATAGCCCCCCATAGCTCCCCATAGCTCCCCATAGCCCCCCATAGCTCCCCATAGCTCCCCATAGCGCCCCATAGCTCCCCATAGCTCCCCATAGCGCCCCATAGCGCCCCATAGCTCCCCCTGCCCCATAGCTCCCTATAGCTCCCCATAGCTCCCCATAGCTCCCCATAGCGCCCCATAGCTCCCCCTGCCCCATAGCTCCCCATAGCCCCCCATAGCTCCCCATAGCTCCCATAGCCCCCCATAGCTCCCCCTGCCCCATAGCTCCCCATAGCTCCCCATAGCTCCCCATAGCTCCCCCTGCCCCATAGCGCCCCATAGCTCCCCATAGCTCCCCCTGCCCCATAGCTCCCATAGCTCCCCCTGCCCATAGCGCCCCATAGCTCCCCCTGCCCCATAGCTCCCCATAGCCCCCATAGCCCTCTCTGCCCCATAGCTCCCCATAGCTCCCCATAGCGCCCCATAGCTCCCCATAGCTCCCCCTGCCCCATAGCTCCCCATAGCCCCCCATAGCTCCCCCTGCCCCATAGCTCCCCATAGCTCCCCATAGCTCCCCATAGCTCCCCATAGCTCCCCCTGCCCCATAGCTCCCCATAGCTCCCCATAGCTCCCCATAGCTCCCCATAGCTCCCCCTGCCCCATAGCTCCCCATAGCTCCCCATAGCTCCCATAGCGCCCCATAGCGCCCCATAGCTCCCCCTGCCCCATAGCTCCCCATAGCGCCCCATAGCTCCCCATAGCCCCCCATAGCTCCCCATAGCTCCCCATAGCCCCCCATAGCGCCCCATAGCTCCCCATAGCTCCCCATAGCTCCCCATAGCTCCCCCTGCCCCATAGCGCCCCATAGCTCCCCATAGCTCCCCATAGCGCCCCATAGCTCCCCATAGCTCCCCCTGCCCATAGCTCCCCATAGCTCCCCATAGCGCCCCATAGCGCCCCATAGCTCCCCATAGCGCCCCATAGCTCCCCATAGCTCCCCATAGCGCCCCATAGCTCCCCATAGCTCCCCCTGCCCCATAGCTCCCCATAGCGCCCCATAGCTCCCCATAGCTCCCCATAGCTCCCCTGCCCCATAGCTCCCCATAGCTCCCCATAGCTCCCCATAGCGCCCCATAGCGCCCCCTGCCCCATAGCGCCCCCTGCCCCATAGCTCCCCATAGCTCCCCATAGCTCCCCCTGCCCCATAGCTCCCCCTGCCCCATAGCTCCCCATAGCGCCCCATAGCGCCCCATAGCTCCCCCTAGCCCCATAGCTCCCCATAGCGCCCCATAGCTCCCCATAGCCCCCATAGCTCCCCATAGCTCCCCATAGCCCCCCATAGCTCCCCATAGCTCCCCATAGCGCCCCATAGCTCCCCATAGCTCCCCATAGCGCCCCATAGCGCCCCATAGCTCCCCCTGCCCCATAGCTCCCTATAGCTCCCCATAGCTCCCCATAGCTCCCCATAGCGCCCCATAGCTCCCCCTGCCCCATAGCTCCCCATAGCCCCCCATAGCTCCCCATAGCTCCCCATAGCCCCCATAGCTCCCCCTGCCCCATAGCTCCCCATAGCTCCCCATAGCTCCCCATAGCTCCCCCTGCCCCATAGCGCCCCATAGCTCCCCATAGCTCCCCATAGCGCCCCATAGCTCCCCATAGCTCCCCCTGCCCCATAGCGCCCCATAGCTCCCCCTGCCCCATAGCTCCCCATAGCTCCCCCTGCCCCATAGCGCCCCCATAGCTCCCCCTGCCCCATAGCTCCCCATAGCCCCCATAGCCCTCTCTGCCCCATAGCTCCCCATAGCTCCCCATAGCGCCCCATAGCTCCCCATAGCTCCCCCTGCCCCATAGCTCCCCATAGCCCCCCATAGCTCCCCCTGCCCCATAGCTCCCCATAGCTCCCCATAGCTCCCCATAGCGCCCCATAGCTCCCCATAGCTCCCCATAGCGCCCCATAGCGCCCCATAGCTCCCCATAGCTCCCCCTGCCCCATAGCTCCCCATAGCTCCCCATAGCTCCCCATAGCCCCCCATAGCTCCCCCTGCCCCATAGCTCCCCATAGCTCCCCATAGCTCCCCATAGCGCCCCATAGCTCCCATAGCTCCCCATAGCGCCCCATAGCGCCCCATAGCTCCCCATAGCTCCCCCTGCCCCATAGCTCCCCATAGCTCCCCATAGCTCCCATAGCGCCCCATAGCTCCCCCTGCCCCATAGCTCCCCATAGCCCCCCATAGCTCCCCCTGCCCCATAGCTCCCCATAGCTCCCCATAGCTCCCCCTGCCCCATAGCTCCCCATAGCGCCCCATAGCTCCCCATAGCTCCCCCTGCCCCATAGCGCCCCATAGCTCCCCATAGCTCCCCATAGCCCCCCATAGCTCCCCCTGCCCCATAGCTCCCCATAGCGCCCCATAGCGCCCCATAGCGCCCCATAGCTCCCGCTGCCCCATAGCTCCCCATAGCTCCCCATAGCCCCCCATAGCTCCCCCTGCCCCATAGCTCCCCATAGCTCCCCCTGCCCCATAGCTCCCCATAGCTCCCCATAGAGCCCCATAGCTCCCCATAGCCCCCCATAGCTCCCCATAGCTCCCCATAGCGCCCCATAGCTCCCCCTGCCCCATAGCTCCCCATAGCTCCCCATAGCGCCCCATAGCTCCCCATAGCTCCCCCTGCCCCATAGCGCCCCATAGCTCCCCCTGCCCCATAGCTCCCCATAGCTCCCCATAGCCCCCATAGCTCCCCATAGCCCCCCATAGCTCCCCCTGCCCCATAGCTCCCCATAGCGCCCCATAGCGCCCCATAGCTCCCCATAGCTCCCCCTGCCCCATAGCGCCCCATAGCTCCCCCTGCCCCATAGCTCCCCATAGCTCCCCATAGCCCCCATAGCTCCCCATAGCCCCCCATAGCTCCCCCTGCCCCATAGCGCCCCCATAGCGCCCCATAGCGCCCCACAAGGTGACGATGTCGCCGTTGCCCCTCTCCAGGGCGATGCTCAGGGGGTCCCTGCCCCCCCCATCCAGGGCCGTGACGTCAGCGCCGCGCTTCAGGAAGAGGCAGGCGAGGCTGCGGGGGGGAGGGGAGGGGGGGGGGGGGAGGGGGGAGGGGGGGGGAGGGGGGGGGATGTGGGGCGGGGATAGGGGGGATGTGGGGTTCAATGGGGGGGATTTGGGGTTCAATGGGGGGATGTGGGGTTCAATGGGGGGATGTGGGGTTCAATGGGGGGGATGTGGGGTTCAATGGGGGGGATGTGGGGTTCAATGGGGGGATGTGGGGTTCAATGGGGGGATGTGGGGTTCAATGGGGGGATGTGGGGCAGGGATAGGGGGATGTGGGGTTCAATGGGGGGATGTGGGGCAGGGATGGGGGGGATGTGGGGTTCAATGGGGGGGATGTGGGGTTCAATGGGGGGGATGTGGGGTTCAATGGGGGGGATGTGGGGCAGGGATGTGGGGGATGTGGGGTTCAATGGGGGGATGTGGGGCGGGTATAGGGGGGATGTGGGGTTCAATGGGGGGGATGTGGGGCAGGGATAGGGGGGATGTGGGGTTCAATGGGGGGATGTGGGGCGGGTATAGGGGGGATGTGGGGTTCAATGGGGGAGATGTGGGGCAGGGACAGGGGGGATGTGGGGCAGGGATGGGGGAGATGTGGGGTTCAATGGGGGGATGTGGGGCGGGTATAGGGGGGATGTGGGGTTCAATGGGGGGGATGTGGGGCAGGGATAGGGGGGATGTGGGGTTCAATGGGGGATGTGGGGCGGGTATAGGGGGATGTGGGGTTCAATGGGGGGGATGTGGGGCAGGGATAGGGGGGATGTGGGGTTCAATGGGGGGATGTGGGGTTCAATGGGGGGGATGTGGGTCAGGGATAGGGGGAGATGTGGGGTTCAATGGGGGGGATGTGGGGCAGGGATAGGGGGAGATGTGGGACAGGGATGGGGGGGATGTGGGGCAGGGATAGGGGAGATGTGGGGCAGGGATGGGGGGGATGTGGGGTTCAATGGGGGGATGTGGGGCGGGGATAGGGGGGATGTGGGGTTCAATGGGGGGGATGTGGGGCAGGGACAGGGGGGATGTGGGGTTCAATGGGGGGGATTTGGGGTTCAATGGGGGGATGTGGGGCAGGGATGTGGGGGATGTGGGGCAGGGATAGGGGGAGATGTGGGGTTCAATGGGGGGGATGTGGGGCAGGGATAGGGGGGATGTGGGGCAGGGATAGGGGGAGAGGTGGGGTTCAATGGGGGAGATGTGGGGTTCAATGGGGGGATGTGGGGCAGGGATGGGGGGGATGTGGGGTTCAATGGGGGGGATGTGGGGTTCAATGGGGGGATGTGGGGCAGGGATAGGGGGAGATGTGGGGCGGGGATGGGGGGAGATGTGGGGCAGGGACAGGGGGGATGTGGGGCGGGGATGGGGGGAGATGTGGGGCAGGGACAGGGGGGATGTGGGGTTCAATGGGGGGGGATGTGGGGGGGGGATGGGGGGGATGTGGGGTTCAATGGGGGGATGTGGGGCAGGGATAGGGGGGATGTGGGGTTCAATGGGGGGATGTGGGGCGGGTATAGGGGGGATGTGGGTTCAATGGGGGGGATGTGGGGCAGGGATAGGGGGGATGTGGGGTTCAATGGGGGGATGTGGGGTTCAATGGGGGGGATGTGGGTCAGGGATAGGGGGAGATGTGGGGTTCAATGGGGGGGATGTGGGGCAGGGATAGGGGGAGATGTGGGACAGGGATGGGGGGGATGTGGGGCAGGGATAGGGGAGATGTGGGGCAGGGATGGGGGGGATGTGGGGTTCAATGGGGGATGTGGGGCGGGGATAGGGGGGATGTGGGGTTCAATGGGGGGGATGTGGGGCAGGGACAGGGGGGATGTGGGGTTCAATGGGGGGGATTTGGGGTTCAATGGGGGGATGTGGGGCAGGGATGTGGGGGATGTGGGGCAGGGATAGGGGGAGATGTGGGGTTCAATGGGGGGGATGTGGGGCAGGGATAGGGGGGATGTGGGGCAGGGATAGGGGGAGAGGTGGGTTCAATGGGGGAGATGTGGGGTTCAATGGGGGGATGTGGGGCAGGGATGGGGGGGATGTGGGGTTCAATGGGGGGGATGTGGGTTCAATGGGGGATGTGGGGCAGGGATAGGGGGAGATGTGGGGCGGGGATGGGGGGAGATGTGGGGCAGGGACAGGGGGGATGTGGGGCGGGGATGGGGGGAGATGTGGGGCAGGGACAGGGGGATGTGGGGTTCAATGGGGGGGGATGTGGGGGGGGGATGGGGGGGATGTGGGGTTCAATGGGGGGATGTGGGGCAGGGATAGGGGGAGATGTGGGGTTCAATGGGGGGATGTGGGGTTCAATGGGGGGGATGTGGGGCAGGGATAGGGGGAGATGTGGGACAGGGATGGGGGGGATGTGGGGCAGGGATAGGGGAGATGTGGGGCAGGGATGGGGGGATGTGGGGTTCAATGGGGGGATGTGGGGCGGGGATAGGGGGGATGTGGGGTTCAATGGGGGGGATGTGGGGTTCAATGGGGGGATGTGGGGCAGGGATGTGGGGGATGTGGGGCAGGGATAGGGGGAGATGTGGGGTTCAATGGGGGGATGTGGGGCAGGGATAGGGGGGATGTGGGGCAGGGATAGGGGAGAGGTGGGGTTCAATGGGGGAGATGTGGGGTTCAATGGGGGGATGTGGGGCAGGGATGGGGGGGATGTGGGGTTCAATGGGGGGGATGTGGGGTTCAATGGGGGGATGTGGGGCAGGGATAGGGGAGATGTGGGGCAGGGATGGGGGGGATGTGGGGTTCAATGGGGGGGATGTGGGGCAGGGATGGGGGGATGTGGGGCGGGGATAGGGGAGATGTGGGGCAGGGATGGGGGGGATGTGGGGTTCAATGGGGGGGATGTGGGGCGGGGATGGGGGGGATGTGGGGCAGGGATAGGGGAGATGTGGGGCAGGGATAGGGGGGATGTGGGGCAGGGATAGGGGAGATGTGGGGCAGGGATAGAGGAGATGTGGGGCAGGGATAGGGGAGATGTGGGGCGGGGATAGGGGGGATGTGGGGCAGGGATAGGGGAGATGTGGGGCAGGGATAGAGGAGATGTGGGGCAGGGATAGGGGAGATGTGGGGCAGGGATAGGTGGGATGTGGGGCAGGGATAGGGGGATGTGGGGCAGGGATGGGGGGGATGTGGGGACAGACACGATTGGGACCCCCCGTTAGGTTCAGGTCTCCCATCCAGGCCCTGACCGGGGCTGACCCTGCTTAGCTTCGCCCCCCGGCCGCCGTAGGGCTGGGCGCTGCCACCATTGAAATCAATGGGGTTTGGACCCCCCCACTGCCCCATTGCCATCAATGGGGTGCCCTCCACCCCATAACCCCATTGCCATCAATGGGGTTTGAAGCCCCCCCCATTGCCCTCAATGGGGTCGTCCCCCCCCCACTGCCCCATTGCCATCAATGGGGTTTGAACCCCCACCCCATAGCCCCATTGCCATCAATGGGGTGCCCCCCACCCCACAACCCCATTGCCATCATGGGTTCCCCCCCACCCCATAGCCCCATTGCCATCAATGGGGTTTGGATCCCCCCCATTGCCATCAATGGGGTCCCCCCCACCCCATAGCCCCCCACTGCCCCATTGCCATCAATGGGGTTTGGATCCCCCCCATTGCCATCAATGGGGTCCCCCCCACCCCATAGCCCCCCACTGCCTCATTGCCATCAATGGGGTTTGGATCCCCCCATTGCCATCAATGGGGTCCCCCCCACCCCATAGCCCCCCACTGCCCCATTGCCATCAATGGGGTTTGGGATCCCCCCCATTGCCATCAATGGGGTCCCCCCCACCCCATAGCCCCCCACTGCCCCATTGCCATCAATGGGGTTTGGATCCCCCCCATTGCCATCAATGGGGTGCCCCCCACCCCATAGCCCCCCACTGCCCCATTGCCATCAATGGGGTTTGGATCCCCCCCATTGCCATCAATGGGGTCCCCCCACCCCATAGCCCCCCACTGCCCCATTGCTATCAATGGGGTTTGGATCCCCCCCATTGCCATCAATGGGGTCCCCCCCACCCCATAGCCCCCCCACTGCCCCATTGCCATCAATGGGGTTTGGATCCCCCCCATTGCCATCAATGGGGTCCCCCCCACCCCATAGCCCCATTGCCATCAATGGGGTTTGAACCCCCACCCCATAGCCCCATTGCCATCAATGGGGTCCCCCCCACCCCATAGCCCCATTGCCATCAATGGGGTTTGAACCCCCACCCCATAGCCCCCATTGCCATCAATGGGGTTTGAACCCCCACCCCATAGCCCCATTGCCATCAATGGGGTTTGGATCCCCCCCCTTTGCCATCAATGGGGTCCCCCCCACCCCATAGCCCCCCACTGCCCCATTGCCATCAATGGGGTTTGGATCCCCCCCATTGCCATCAATGGGGTGCCCCCCACCCCATAGCCCCCCACTGCCCCATTGCCATCAATGGGGTTTGGATCCCCCCCATTGCCCTCAATGGGGTCCCCCCCACCCCATAGCCCCCCACTGCCCCATTGCCATCAATGGGGTTTGGATCCCCCCCATTGCCATCAATGGGGTCCCCCCCACCCCATAGCCCCCCACTGCCCCATTGCCATCAATGGGGTTTGGATCCCCCCCATTGCCATCAATGGGGTGCCCCCCACCCCATAGCCCCATTGCCCTCAATGGGGTTTGAACCCCCCCCCCACTGCCCCATTTCCATCAATGGGGTTTGGATCCCCCCCATTGCCATCAATGGGGTTTGGATCCCCCCCATTGCCATCAATGGGGTGCCCCCCACCCCATAGCCCCCCACTGCCCCATTGCCATCAATGGGGTTTGGATCCCCCCCATTGCCATCAATGGGGTTTGGATCCCCCCATTGCCATCAATGGGGTGCCCCCCACCCCATAGCCCCCCACTGCCCCATTGCCATCAATGGGGTTTGGATCCCCCCCATTGCCATCAATGGGGTTTGGATCCCCCCCATTGCCATCAATGGGGTGCCCCCCACCCCATAGCCCCCCACTGCCCCATTGCCATCAATGGGGTTTGGATCCCCCCATTGCCATCAATGGGGTTTGGATCCCCCCCATTGCCATCAATGGGGTGCCCCCCACCCCATAGCCCCCCCCTTACCCCGTGTGCCCCATCCGGGTCGCGTGGTGCAGGGGGGCCCCCCCCTCCCCATCGCTTTGGTTCACGCTGGCCCCATTCTGCAGCAGGAACTCGGAGGCCACCAGGGAATTCTATGGGGCGATGGGGGGCAATGGGGTGATGGGGGGCAATGGGGTAATGGGGGGCGATGGGGTAATGGGGTAATGGGGGGCAATGGGGTGATGGGGGCAATGGGGTGATGGGGGACAATGGGGTGATGGGGGGCAATGGGGTGATGGGGGTAATGGGGGTGATGGGGGGCAATGGGGTAATGGGGGGCAATGGGGTGATGGGGGGCAATGGGGTAATGGGGGGCAATGGGGTGATGGGGGTAATGGGGGTGATGGGGGGCAATGGGGGAAAGGGGCAATGGGGTGATGGGGGGCAATGGGGGTGATGGGGGGCAATGGGGTGATGGGGGGCAATGGGGCAATGGGGGCAATGGGGTAATGGGGGGCAATGGGGTAATGGGGGTAATGGGGGTGATGGGGGCAATGGGGTAATGGGGAGCAATGGGGCAATGGGGTAATGGGGGGCAATGGGGTGATGGGGGTGATGGGGGGCAATGGGGGAAAGGGGGCAATGGGGTGATGGGGGTAATGGGGTGATGGGGGCAATGGGGGGCAATGGGGTAATGGGGGTAATGGGGGTGATGGGGGCAATGGGGGGCAATGGGGCAATGGGGTAATGGGGGGCAATGGGGTAATGGGGGCAATGGGGGGCAATGGGGTAATGGGGGTAATGGGGGTGATGTGGGCAATGGGGGGCAATGGGGCAATGGGGTAATGGGGGTAATGGGGGTGATGGGGGCAATGGGGTAATGGGGGGCAATGGGGCAATGGGGTAATGGGGGGCAATGGGGTGATGGGGGTGATGGGGTGATGAGGGTCAATGGGGCAATGGGGGATAATGGGGTAATGGGGGGCAATGGGGTGATGGGGATCAATGGGGGCAATGGGGTTGGGGTCAATGGGGTAATGGGGGGGCAATGGGGGTAATGGGGGTGATGGGGGCAATGGAGTAATGGGGGGCAATGGGGTCAATGGGGTGATGGGGTAATGGGGGGTAATGGGGTGATGGGGGGCAATGGGGGTGATGGGGGTCAATGGGGTCAATGGGGCAATGGGGATCAATGGGGGGCAATGGGGTTGGGGGCAATGGGGTAATGGGGATCAATGAGGGTCAATGGGGTAATGGGGGTCAATGGGGGTCAATGGGGTAATGGGGGTCAATGGGGGTCAATGGGGTAATGGGGGTCAATGGGGGTCAATGGGGTAATGGGGGTCAATGGGGGTCAATGGGGTTATGGGGGGCACACCCATAGGGACCCCCCCACTGTCCCCCATTGCCCCCAACCCATAGATCCCAACCCTTCCCCCCCCAGTCCCATAGATCCGCCCCCAGCCCCATTGCCCTCCAACCCCTTTGACCCACAACACCATTGACCCCCATTGACCCCCTTTGCCCCATTGCCCCCCAGCCCCATTGCCCTCCCATTGTCCCCCATTGATCCCCATTGCCCCCCATTGATCCCCTTTGCCCCATTGATCCCCATTGCCCCCATTGCCCCCCATTGCCCCCATTCCCATCCACCCCATCAACCCCCATTGCCCCCCCAGCCCCATAGCCCCATTGACCCCCTCCCCAATGCCCCCCCAACCCCATTGCCCCCATTGATCCCCATTGCCCCCATTGATACCCATTGGCCCCCATTGCCCCCCATTGACCCGCTCTCCATTGCCCCCCAACCCCATTGGCCCCCATTGCCCCCCATTGACCCCCTCTCCATTGCCCCCCAACCCCATTGCCCCCCATTGCCCCATTGCCCCCCATTGCTCCCCATTGATCCCCATTGCCCCCCATTGCCCCATTGCCCCCCATTGCCCCCCATTGACCCCCTCTCCATTGCCCCCAGCCCCATTGCCCCCCATTGATCCCCATTGCCCCCCATTGCCCCATTGTCCCCCATTGCCCCCCATTGAACCCCTCTCCATTGCCCCCAACCCCATTGATCCCCATTGCCCCCATTGATCCCCATTGCCCCCCATTGCCCCCCATTGTCCCCCATTGATCCCCATTGTCCCCCATTGATCCCCATTGCCCCCCATTGCCCCCCATTGACCCCATTGATCCCCATTGCCCCCCATTGACCCCATTGATCCCCATTGCCCCCCATTGCCCCCCATTGTCCCCCATTGATCCCCATTGCCCCCCATTGATCCCCATTGCCCCCATTGCCCCCCATTGATCCCCATTGATCCCCATTGACCCCCATTGATCCCCATTGCCCCCTATTGATCCCCATTGCCCCCCATTGACCCCATTGATCCCCATTGACCCCCATTGACCCCATTGACCCCCATTGCCCCCCATTGCCCCCTTCTCCATTGCCCCCCAACCCCATTGATCCCCATTGCCCCCTATTGATCCCCATTGATCCCCATTGCCCCCCATTCCCATTGTCCCCCATTGATCCCCATTGACCCCCATTGACCCCCATCTGCCCCCCATGTGCCCCCTTACCGCCGCCACCGCCTGCAGCAGGGGGGTGCTGTTCCCCTCGGCCCCATTGACCCAGCCGGGCTCTGCCCCATAGGCCAAGGCCTCGGCCATGGGGAGCAGGGCCCCACGTTGGGCCCCCCAATACAGGAGAGCCCCAGGGTGCAGGCCGGGAGGGGGCGGAGCCTCGGGGGGGGCTGTGGGGAAGGGGGGGCGGAGCCTCGAACCACGCCCACATCGCCATATATGGCGTCCTTCCCCGCCCACCGCGCTTTGGACACGCCCACATCGCCATATAAGGAGGTGATGGGGACCCATAGGCCACGCTCGCATCACCATATAAGGAGCTCCCGGGACCCATAGGCCACAACCACATCGCCATAAGCCCCGCCCACTGACACCAGACCACGCCCACGTGTCCATATAAGGCGTTCCATCATTGCAATAAGCCCCGCCCACCACGATCAGGCCACGCCCACATCGCCATATAAGGCATCCGGATGTCCATGAGCCCCACCCCCCGACCACAGAACACGCCCTCATGCCCATATAAGGCGTTCCATCATTGCAATAAGCCCCGCCCTCCACGACCAGGCCACGCCCACATCGCCATATAAGGCACTCCCGTTGTCCAAAAGCCCCGCCCACAGAACACGCCCCCATGCCCATATAAGGCCTTCCATTGTCGCCATAAGCCCCGCCCAGCGCGCTTTGGCCACGCCCACATCTCCATATAAGGCAATTCCATGCCCGTACCCCATAGAACGCACCCCCGATGCCCATAAGCCACGCCCACCGACCCAAGACCACGCCCTCATGCCCATATAAGGCGTTCCATCGTCCCCATAAGCCCCGCCCACCACTATCAGGCCACGCCTACATCACCATATAAGGCATTCCCATGCCCCGTACCCCATAGAGGCACCCCTGATGCCCATAAGCCCCACCCACCGACACCAGACCACGCCCACATGCCCATATAAGGCCTTCCCCAGTGCCCATAGGCCACGCCCACACCCCATATAAGGTGTTTCCCATACCCATAAGCCCCGCCCACCGTGCTCAGACCACGCCTCCATTTCCATATATGGCACTCACAGGGCCCATAAGCCCCTCCCACCATGCCAAGCCTACACCCCCATCGCCATATACGGCATTTCCATTGCCCATAGGCCACGCCCCTCACAGTATAAGGCATTCCCATGCCCATAGGCCCCTCCCACTATGCCTAGACCACACCCCCCCCATATAAGGCATCCCCATGGCCATAGGCCCCTCCCACCATGCCAAGGCCACACCCCCATCACCCTATATGGCATGTCCATTGTCCATAGGCCACGCCCCTCACCATATAAGGCACCCCAATGCCCATAGGCCCCTCCCAAAGCACTCAGGCCTCGCCCCCATCACCATATATGGCATTTCCATTGCCCATAGGCCACGCCCCCCACCATATAAGGCATCTCAATGCCCATAAGCCACTCCCACCGCGCTCAGGCCTCGCCCCCATCACCATATATGGCGTCCCCATAGGCCACGCCCCCCACCATATAAGGCATCCCAATGCCCATAAGCCCCTCCCACCTCTCTCAGACCACGCCCCCTTCCCACCCCCCTTTAACCCCACAAGCCCCGCCCCCTCCCTTTGCACCAATCACAGCAGCGGCCGCCCCTCGCCCCCCCCCCTTAAGCCCCGCCCCCTTCTCCCCCCCCCCCCCCAACCAATCACGTACCGGGGGCGGGGCCTGGTCGCGGGGGGCGGGGCCTCAGCTGCGCCCCCATTGGCCGCGCCAGGAAGCGTTTGTGCACGTACTTGGCGCGGATCCAATCCTCGCGCTGGGCGCTGGGGGGGGGGCGGGGTTATGGGGGGGGCTATGGGGCAGGGGCGGGTGCTATGGGGCACAGAGATTCTATGGGGCAGGGAGGGGCTATGGGGCAGAGGGGGGTCCTATGGGGTCCTATGGGGCAGGGGGGGGCTATGGGGCAGCGGGCGGGTGCCATGGGGCACAGAGATTCTATGGGGCGGGGGGGGTGCTATGGGGCACAGAGATCCTATGGGGCAGGGAGGGGCTATGGGGCAGGGGGGGCTGCTATGGGGCACAGAGATTCTATGGGGCAGGGAGGGGTCCTATGGGGCTGGGGGGGTGCTATGGGGCACAGAGATCCTATGGGGCAGGGGGGGTCCTATGGGGCACAGAGATCCTATGGGGCAGGGAGGGGCTATGGGGCAGAGGGGGGTCCTATGGGGTCCTATGGGGCAGGGGGGGGCTATGGGGCAGTGGGCGGGTGCTATGGGGCACAGAGATTCTATGGGGCAGGGAGGGGTCCTATGGGGCTGGGGGGGTGCTATGGGGCACAGAGATCCTATGGGGCAGAGGGGGGGCTATGGGGTGGGGGGGATGCTATGAGGCATAGAGATTCTATGGGGCAGGGAGGCGTCCTATGGGGCGGGGGGGGTGCTATGGGGCATAGAGATTCTATGGGGCAGGGACGGGCTATGGGGCAGGGGGCGGGTGCTATGGAGCACAGAGATTCTATGGGGCAGGGAGGGGCTATGGGGGTCCTATGGGGGTCCTATGGGGCAGGAGGGGGTGCTATGGGGCACAGAGATAATATGGGGCAGGGAGGGGTCCTATGGGGTCCTATGGGGTCCTATGGGGCAGAGAGATCCTATGGGGCAGGGGGGGCTATGGGGCAGAGGGGGGTCCTATGGGGGTCCTATGGGGCACAGAGATCCTATGGGGCAGGGAGGGGCTATGGGGCACAGAGATCCTATGGGGCAGGGAGGGGCTATGGGGCACAGAGATCCTATGGGGCAGTGGGGGGTTCTATGGGGCTCCTATGGGGTCACAGGGTGTTCCTATGGGGCAGGGAGGGTTCCTATGGGGCAGTGGGGGGGTTCTATGGGGCTCCTATGGGGTCACAGAGGGTTCCTATGGGGCAGGGAGGGTTCCTATGGGGTCACAGAGGGTTCCTATGGGGCAGGGAGGGTTCCTATGGGGTCACAGAGGGTTCCTATGGGGCAGGGGGGGTTCTATGGGGCTCCTATGGGGTCCCAGGCGGTTCCTATGGGGCAGGGAGGGCTCCTATGGTGCTCCTATGGGGTCACAGGGGGTTCCTATGGGGCAAGGGGGGTTCTATGGGGCTCCTATGGGGTCCCAGGTGGTTCCTATGGGGCAGGGAGGGTTCCTATGGTGCTCCTATGGGGTCACAGGGGGTTCCTATGGGGCAAGGGGGGTTCTATGGGGCTCCTATGGGGTCACAGAGGGTTCCTATGGGGCAGGGAGGGTTCCTATGGGATCACAGAGGGTTCCTATGGGGCAGGAGGGGTTCTATGGGGCTCCTATGGGGTCACAGAGGGTTCCTATGGAGCAGGGAGGGTTCCTATGGGGCAGTGGGGGGGTTCTATGGGGCTCCTATGGGGTCCCAGGTGGTTCCTATGGGGCAGGGGGGGGTTCTATGGGGCTCCTATGGTGTCACAGAGGGTTCCTATGGGGCAGGGAGGGTTCCTATGGGGTCACAGAGGGTTCCTATGGGGCAGGGGGGGTTCTATGGGGCTCCTATGGGGTCACAGAGGGTTCCTATGGGGCAAGGGGGGTTCTATGGGGCTCCTATGGGGTCCCAGGGTGTTCCTATGGGGGAGGGGGGGTTCTATGGAGCTCCTATGGGGTTACAGAGGGTTCCTATGGGGCAGGGAGGGTTCCTATGGGGTCACAGAGGGTTCCTATGGGGCAGTGGGGGGTTCTATGGAGCTCCTATGGGGTCCCAGGCGGTTCCTATGGGGCAGGGGGGGGTTCTATGGGGCTCCTATGGGGTTACAGAGGGTTCCTATGGGGCAGGGAGGGTTCCTATGGGGTCACAGAGGGTTCCTATGGGGCAGGGGAGGGTTCTATGGGGCTCCTATGGGGTCCCAGGCTGTTCCTATGGGGCAGGGGGGGTTCTATGGGGCTCCTATGGGGTCACAGAGGGTTCCTATGGGGCAGTGGGGGGGTTCTATGGAGCTCCTATGGGGTCCCAGGGGGTTCCTATTGGGCAGTGGGGGGTTCTATGGGGCTCCTATGGGGTCACAGAGGGTTCCTATGGAGCAGGGAGGGTTCCTATGGGGTCACAAAGGGTTCCTATGGGGCAGTGGGAGGGTTCTATGGGGCTCCTATGGGGTCACAGAGGGTTCCTATGGGGCAGGGAGGGTTCCTATGGGGCAGTGGGGGGGTTCTATGGGGCTCCTATGGGGTCCCAGGTGGTTCCTATGGGGCAGGGGGGGGTTCTATGGGGCTCCTATGGGGTCACAGAGGGTTCCTATGGGGCAGGGAGGGTTCCTATGGGGTCACAGAGGGTTCCTATGGGGCAGGGGGGGTTCTATGGGGCTCCTATGGGGTCACAGAGGGTTCCTATGGGGCAGGGAGGGTTCCTATGGGGTCACAGAGGGTTCCTATGGGGCAGTGGGGGGTTCTATGGGGCTCCTATGGGGTCCCAGGGTGTTCCTATGGGGCAGGGAGGGTTCCTATGGGGTCACAGAGGGTTCCTATGGGGCAGGAGGGGTTCTATGGGGCTCCTATGGGGACACAGAGGGTTCCTATGTGGCAGGGAGGGTTCCTATGGGGTCACAGAGGGTTCCTATGGGGCAGGGAGGGTTCCTATGGGGTCCCAGGCGGTTCCTATGGGGCAGGGGTGGGGGTTCTGACCGGGAGCAGCCGGGGGGGGGTCTCTTGACCCCCATCTCCTCCACCCGGGCCTCGTAGATGCGGTTCAAGGCGTTGTTCCCCAGCGCACACATGACCTGGGGGGCGCCCCATAGGGCCCATTGAGCCCCATTGAGCCCCATTGAAGCCCATTGACCCCATACAGCCCCATTGAAGCCCATTGAGCCCCATTGAACTCCATTGACACCCATTGACCCCCATTGACCCCATTGAAGCCCATTGAGCCCCATTGAACTCCATTGACACCCATTGACCCCCATTGACCCCATTGAAGCCCATTGAGCCCCATTGAAGCCCATTGACCCCATACAGCCCCATTGAAGCCCATTGAGCCCCACTGAACCCCATTGACACCCATTGACCCCCATTGACCCCCTTGAAGCCCATTGAGCCCCATTGAAGCCCATTGAGCCCCACTGAACCCCATTGACCCTATTGAACCCCATTGAAGCCCACTGAGCCCCATTGAAACCCATTGAAGCCCATTGAGCCCCATTGAAACCCATTGAAGCCCATTGAGCCCCATTGAAACCCATTGAAGCCCATTGAGCCCCATTGAAGCCCATTGACCCTATTGAAACCCATTGACCCCATTGAAGCCCATTGAGCCCCATTGAACCCCATTGAAGCCCATTGAGCCCCATTGAACCCATTGGTGCCAGTGAACCACATTGAACCCCATTGAAGCCCATTGAGCCCCATTGAGCCCCATTAAACCCCATTGAGCCCCATTGAGGCCCATTGACACAAATTGAATCCCTTTGAACCCCATTGACACCCATTGACCCCCATTGAACCCCACTGAACCCCATTGACCCCCATTGACACCCATTGACCCCACTGAGCCCCACTGAAGCCCATTGACCCCCATTGAACCCATTGGTGCCATTGAACCCCATTGAACCCCACTGACTGCATTGACCCCCATCGAGCCCCATTGAGCCCCATTGACAACTATTGAACCCATTGGTGCCATTGAACCCCATTGACACCCATTGACCCCCACTGAACCCCATTGACTCCCATTGAACCCCATTGACACCCATTGACACCCATTGAACCCCATTGAACCCCATTGAGCCCCACTAAACCCCATTGAGCCCCACTGAGGCCCATTGACCTCCATTGAACCCCATTGATACCCATTGACCCCCATTGAACCCCATTGAACCCCATTGAACCCATTGGTGCCATTGAACCCCATTGAACCCCATTGAACCCCATTGAGCCCCACTAAACCCCACTGAGCCCCACTGAGGCCCATTGACCTCCATTGAACCCCATTGATACCCATTGACCCCCATTGAACCCCATTGAACCCCATTGAACCCATTGGTGCCATTGAACCCCATTGAACCCCATTGAACCCCATTGAGCCCCACTAAACCCCATTGAGCCCCACTGAGGCCCATTGACCTCCATTGAGCCCCATTGAGCCCCATTGACCCCCATTGAACCCCATTGAACCCCATTGAACCCATTGGTGCCATTGAACCCTATTGAACCCTATTGAACCCCATTGAACCCCATTGACCACCATTGAAACCCATTGACCCCATTGAGCCCCATTGACCGCATTGACCCCATCGAGCCCCATTGACAACCATTGAACCCATTGGTGCCATTGAACCCCCTTGAACCCCATTGAACCCCATTGACGCCCATTAACCCCCATTGAACCCCATTAACCCCCATTGCCCCCCATTACCCCATTACCCCCCATTGCTCCCCATTGCTCCCCATTGCTCCCAGTTACCTTCACCAGTTCGGGCTCCCATGAGTCCAGTGTCAGGGACCGCACCTTGGAGAAGTGAACCCCCAGGCTCCTATGGGGAGATGGGGGTCAGGGGAGGGGCCCCATTGGGTTGTGGGGTGGCCCCATAGATGCTGAAGAGGATGGGATGGATGCAGGGATTGATGCTCTGTTGGGTACCACATCCCATCCCTGCATCCCACAGCACTGAGGATGCTCTGTTGGGTACCACATCCCATCCCTGCATCCCACAGCACTAAGGATGCTCCCTTGGGTACCACATCCCATCCCTGCATCCCACAGCGCTAAGGATGCTCTGTTGGGTACCACATCCCATCCCTGCATCCCACGGTACTAAGGATGCTCTCTTGGGTACCACATCCCATCCCTGCATCCCACAGCACTAAGGATGCTCTGTTGGGTACCACATCCCATCCCTGCATCCCGCAGCACTAAGGATGCTCTGTTGGGTACCACATCCCATCCCTGCATCCCACAGCACTAAGGATGCTCTGTTGGGTACCACATCCCATCCCTGCATCCCATAGCACTAAGGATGCTCTCTTGGGTACCACATCCCATCCCTGCATCCCATAGCACTAAGGATGCTCTCTTGGGTACCACATCCCATCCCTGCATCCCACAGCACTAAGGATGCTCTGTTGGGTACCACATCCCATCCCTGCATCACACGGTACTAAGGATGCTCTCTTGGGTACCACATCCCATCCCTGCATCCCACAGCACTAAGGATGCTCTGTTGGGTACCACATCCCATCCCTGCATCCCACAGCCCTAAGGATGCTCTGTTGGGTACCACATCCCATCCCTGCATCCCACAGCGCTAAGGATGCTCTCTTGGGTACCACATCCCATCCCTGCATCCCACAGCACTGAGGATGCTCTGTTGGGTACCACATCCCATTCTTGCATCCCACAGCACTGGGGATGCTCTGTTGGGTACCACATCCCATCCCTGCATCCCACAGCACTAAGGATGCTCTCTTGGGTACCACATCCCATCCCTGCATCCCACAGCACTGAGGATGCTCTGTTGGGTACCACATCCCATTCTTGCATCCCACAGCACTGGGGATGCTCTGTTGGGTACCACATCCCATCCCTGCATCCCACAGCACTAAGGATGCTCTCTTGGGTACCACATCCCATCCCTGCATCCCACAGCACTGAGGATGCTCTGTTGGGTACCACATCCCATTCTTGCATCCCACAGCACTGGGGATGCTCTGTTGGGTACCACATCCCATCCCTGCATCCCAAAGCACTAAGGATGCTCCGTTGGGTACCACATCCCATCCCTGCATCCCACAGCACTAAGGATGCTCCGTTGGGTACCACATCCCATCCCTGCATCCCACAGCGCTGGGGATGCTCTGTTGGGTACCACATCCCATCCCTGCATCCCACAGCACTAAGGATGCTCCATTGGGTACCACATCCCATCCCTGCATCCCACAGCGCTAAGGATGCTCTGTTGGGTACCACATCCCATCCCTGCATCCCACAGCACTAAGGATGCTCCATTGGGTACCACATCCCATCCCTGCATCCCACAGCACTAAGGATGCTCCGTTGGGTACCACATCCCATCCCTGCATCCCAAAGCACTAAGGATGCTCTGTTGGGTACCACATCCCATCCCTGCATCCCACAGCGCTAAGGATGCTCCCTTGGGTACCACATCCCATCCCTGCATCCCACAGCGCTAAGGATGCTCCGTTGGGTACCACATCCCATCCCTGCATCCCACAGCGCTAAGGATGCTCCGTTGGGTACCACATCCCATCCCTGCATCCCACGGCGCTAAGGATGCTCTGTTGGGTACCACATCCCATCCCTGCATCCCACAGCACTAAGGATGCTCTGTTGGGTACCACATCCCATCCCTGCATCCCACAGCACTAAGGATGCTCTGTTGGGTACCACATCCCATCCCTGCATCCCACAGCGCTAAGGATGCTCTCTTGGGTACCACATCCCATCCCTGCATCCCACAGCACTAAGGATGCTGTGTTGGGTACCACATCCCATTCCTGCATCCCGCAGCACTAAGGATGCTCTGTTGGGTACCACATCCCATCCCTGCATCCCACAGCGCTAAGGATGCTGTGTTGGGTACCACATCCCATTCCTGCATCCCGCAGCACTAAGGATGCTCCGTTGGGTACCACATCCCATCCCTGCATCCCACAGCGCTAAGGATGCTCCGTTGGGTACCACATCCCATCCCTGCATCCCACAGCGCTAAGGATGCTCTGTTGGGTACCACATCCCATCCCTGCATCTCACGGCGCTAAGGATGCTCTGTTGGGTACCACATCCCATCCCTGCATCCCACAGCACTAAGGATGCTCCGTTGCGTACCACATCCCATCCCTGCATCCCACAGCGCTGGGGATGCTCTGTTGGGTACCACATCCCATCCCTGCATCCCACAGCACTAAGGATGCTCCATTGGGTACCACATCCCATCCCTGCATCCCACAGCACTAAGGATGCTCCATTGGGTACCACATCCCATCCCTGCATCCCACAGCACTAAGGATGCTCCGTTGGGTACCACATCCCATCCCTGCATCCCAAAGCACTAAGGATGCTCTGTTGGGTACCACATCCCATCCCTGCATCCCACAGCACTAAGGATGCTCCGTTGGGTACCACATCCCCATCCCTGCATCCCACAGCGCTGGGGATGCTCTGTTGGGTACCACATCCCATCCCTGCATCCCACAGCACTAAGGATGCTCCCTTGGGTACCACATCCCATCCCTGCATCCCACAGCGCTAAGGATGCTCTGTTGGGTAACACATCCCATCCCTGCATCCCACAGCGCTAAGGATGCTCTGTTGGGTACCACATCCCATCCCTGCATCCCACAGCACTAAGGATGCTCTGTTGGGTAACACATCCCATCCCTGCATCCCACAGCACTGAGGATGCTCTGTTGGGTACCACATCCCATCCCTGCATCCCACAGCACTAAGGATGCTCCCTTGGGTACCACATCCCATCCCTGCATCCCACAGCGCTAAGGATGCTCTGTTGGGTACCACATCCCATCCCTGCATCCCACAGCGCTAAGGATGCTCTGTTGGGTACCACATCCCATCCCTGCATCCCACAGCACTAAGGATGCTCTGTTGGGTACCACATCCCATCCCTGCATCCCACAGCACTAAGGATGCTCTGTTGGGTACCACATCCCATCCCTGCATCCCACAGCACTAAGGATGCTCTGTTGGGTACCACATCCCATTCCTGCATCCCGCGGCGCTAAGGATGCTCTGTGGGGTACCACATCCCATCCCTGCATCCCACAGCACTAAGGATGCTCCCATTCCCACCTGTGTATCCCGGAGCATTGGATGCAGAGGGTGATTCCCAAATTCACGCTGGCCCAATCCGGTTCCGGCTCCCGGCATTCGCAGCAGCTCCGGTTCCCCGGGACCCTCAGCACCGTCTCCAGCACCGAGCATCCGGATGGAGCCCTATGGGGTGCTGGATCCGCATCGGGGTCCTTGGGGGGCTGCTGGGATATAGGGAATGGATGGGGTGGGGATGGGATGGGATGGGGATGGGGATGGGGATGGGGATGGGGATGAGGATGGGGATGGGATGGGATGGGGATGGGGTGGGGATGGGGATGGGATGGGGATGGGATGGGGATGGGGATGAGGATGGGGATGGGATGGGATGGGATGGGATGGGGATGGGATGGGATGGGATGGGATGGGATGGGGATGGGATGATGGGATGGGATGGGGATGGGGGATGGGGATGGGATGGGATGGGATGGGATGGGGATGGGGGATGGGGAGGGGGATGGGTGGGGATGGGATGGGGATGGGGGGAAGGGATGGGGGAAGGGAATGGAGGGGAAGGGATGGGGGATGGGAATGGGGATGGGGGGAAGGGATGGGGGGGGGGGGGGGGAAGGGGGGATGGGATGGGGATGGGGGTCCCATAGGGGGTGTTTGGGTCCGGACCTGCCCGGGGGGGCTCTGGGGTCCCCACCCCACTGAAGGCGCAGGCGATGCTGCTCTGCACCGCCCCCAGCCATCGGCGCTGCTGGGCTGAGGAGTCAGCCTGGAGCACGCAGGATCTGCATGGGATAACATGGGATAACATGGGATAACATGGGATAACATGGGATAACATGGGATGATATGGGGTAACATGGGAATGACATGGGATAACATGGGATGACATGGGATAACATGGGATAACATGGGATAACATGGGATGACATGGGGTAACATGGGAATGACATGGGGATAACATGGGTTGACATGGGGTACCATGAGTTAACATGGGATAACATGGGAATGACATGGGGATAACATGGGATGACATGGGAATGACATGGGGTACCATGGGATAACATGGGGATGACATGGGAATGACATGGGGATGAAATGGGATAACATGGGAATGAAATGGGATAACATGGGATAACATGGGAATGACATGGGAATGACATGGGGATGACATGGGAATGACATGGGGATGACATGGGGATGACATGGGATAACATGGAATAACATGGGAATGACATGAGGATGACATGGGAATGACGGGGTAACATGGGAATGACATGGGATAACATGGGAATGACATGGAATGACATGGGGTAACATGGGAATGACATGGGATAACATGGGAATGACATGGGGTAACATGGGAATGACATGGGATAACATGGGAATGACATGGGGTAACATGGGATAACATGGGAATGACATGGGGTAACATGGGAATGACATGGGGATGACATGGGATAACATGGGAATGACATGGGGTAACATGGGATAACATGGGAATGACATGGGTTAACATGGGATAACATGGGTATCGTGTGGGGTCTCTATGTGTCTCTATGAA